CTCAAATTTGGCTCGACTCCTGAAGCGCACGGCTTGCCAGCGGGGGGTCAAAATTCGACCGCAATGGAAGACGAAAATCCATTTGGCGAGTCGAGCCGAGCCGAGCCAAGGTCGAGCCGACCCTTGGCTCGACCCTGAACCCCCGAGTCGAGCCAACCATTTTGGGGCAGCCGGCTCGGGTCGAGTCGAGTCGGCTCGGCTCGACTTTTACCTGGCTCGAGGTCGAGTCGAGCCGAGTCGAGCCAGGCTCGGCATGCTGCCCATGTCTACCCGGGCGGGTATTCAATACCCGCTACCCGAAATGCTACCCGACGTGGCGGGTAACGGGTGCCCGACCCAATCGGGTATTCCACCTAGACATGGGCGTAAGTCGCGCTGTGTTTTAGGTTTTGCGGCAAAACGGTTTTGGAGGTGAGGGGGGACGAGTGGAGCATTTGTGAGGAGAAGTTGGAGTTTGTAGATGGGGAGGAGTTAAGTGCGGTGAAAGGGAGGGAGTTGGGTGGGAGTTGGAGAAGAGGTTGGAGTTTGTAGATGGGTAGGAGTTCAGTGCGGTGAAAGGGAGGGAGTTTGTTGGACATGTTGGAGTTCGTAGACAGGGAGGAGTTCAGTGCGGTGAAAGGGAGGGAGTTTGGTTGGAAATTGGAGTTTGTAGACGGGGAGGAGTTCAGTGCGGTGAAAGGGAGGGAGTTGGGTGGTCAAAATTCGACCCCCAGAAAACGCGTCTCTCACTTGAGAGTCGCGTTTTCAGAAACCCTACCTAGCCTAGCCCAACTTTAGGATGTCCACTAGTAGGTGGTGGGTAGTATTACCCGCTTTTCAGGGTAACCGGGTCGGGTATACCCGGACCCGCCAGGTGGGTATTGTATTACCCGTCCCCTAAGGCCGGGTCCGGGTAAGGGTCCTGGGCATATTACCCGACCCGGACCCGACCCGAAAATACCCGACCCCAGATCGGGTATTGGAAAACCGGGTCGGGTCGGGTAATTACCCGGTTTTGCTCAAGCCTACTTAAGGTATCTCTGTTGAATTTGGCTCTGTTTTTTAGCTCTGGATTTGTAGTTTGTGCTGTGAGTGATTGGGTTGAGATCTCTGTGCATGAGCGAGGTGGAAGGGATGGAATTGGATGCTGCTCCAATTTCGAAATGCGCCTTGGTAGCATGCGTTCCGTTTTGCGCGAACGCATGCTACTGGGCGCGAAAAAATAAACCAGCCCGTTGCGAAACGGACGACAATTTCGCAACAGATTTGGTGAACCGTCCGAAATGCGCGCCTCGGAAAAATGTCGAGGCCGTCCTTTGGGAATGTGTTGACTGAACACATTTCTGCTGTTGGGTGTACACCCAACCGCAGAAATGTGCAACAAATTTGTTCGTTTTGCAAACTCCATAACGTTTAAAAAAATCGGTCGATTAAAACGACCGTTTTTTACCACCAATGAAAAATGAAACATTCAGAATCGTTTTTTATCGTATTTAACGGCCGAAAAATACGATATCGTATAATACGGTAATTTTCTGAAAAAAACGACGTTTTTTTAAACCTTGTTCGGGTCGGTTACCCGACCCGGCCCGACCCTTTGCTCAAGCCTAATGGCAATTACTCACACATCAATGTAGGCTTGAGCAAAATACCTGTGCACGTCAGGTACCTGGACTCCGATCCGCTTTTTGGGCGGGTCGAGTATCTGGATTCCCGAAAATTACCCAGCGGGTCGGGTCCGGGTACCTGGGTGGGTATTTGCTACCAGCTACCCAAAATGTTACCCGACCAGGCGGGTAACGGGCCGTTGGGTCGGGTATTACAGCTACACATGGGCGTAAGTCATGCTGTGTTAAGGTTTTGCTGCAAAACGGTTTGGGAGGCGAGGGGGGAAGAGTGGAGCATTTGTGAGGAGAAGTTGGATTTTGTAGATGGGGAGGAGTTAAGTGCGGTGAAAGGGAGGGAGCTGATTTTGAGTTGGAGACAAGGTTGGAGTTTGTAGATGGGGAGGATTTAAGTGAGGTGAAAGGGAGGGAGTTGGTTGTAACTTTGGAGAAAGGTTGGAATTTCTGGATGGGGAGGAGTTAAGCATGGGCAATAGGCGAGTCGAGCATTACTTGCTCCGAGTAATTCTGACTTGACCCTCTTGGGAGGCGAGTCGAGCATTACTCGAGTCGAGTTTTTTTGCAAAGAACCCGACTCGTTTACTCGTTTTTGGGGCGAGTAAACGTTTTACTTGGGGCGAGTAATTTTTACTTGCCCTCAGGTAGGGTTGAGCAAAACCGGGTAATTACCCGACCCGACCCGGTTTTGCAATACCCGACCTCGGGTCGGGTAATTTTGGGTCGGGTCCGGGTCGGGTAATATGCCCAGGACCCTTACCCGGACCTGGCCTTAGGGGGCGGGTAAATACAATACCCGCCTGGCGGGTCCGGGTATTCCCGACCCGGTTTCCCTGAAAAGCGCGTAATACTACCTGCCACCTAGTAGTGGACATCCTAAAGTTGGGCTAGGCTAGGTAGGGTTCCTGAAAACGCGACTCTCAAATGAGAGTCGCGTTTCCTGGGGGTCGAATTTTGACCACCCAACTCCCTCCCTTTCACCGCACTGAACTCCTCCCCCTCTACAAACTCCAATTTCCAACCAAAATCCCTCCCTTTCACCGCACTGAACTCCTCCCTGTCTACGAACTCTAACATTTCCAACAAAACTCCCTCCCTTTCACCGCACTGAACTCCTACCCATCTACAAACTCCAACCTCTTCTCCAACTCCCACCCAACTCTGTTCCTTTCAACGCACTGAACTCCTCCCCGTCTACAAACTCCAATTTCCAACCAAACTCCCTCCCTTTCACCGCACTAAACTCCTCCCTGTCTACAAACTCCAACATTTCCAAAAAACTCCCTCCCTTTCACCGCACTGAACTCTTACCCATCTACAAACTCCAACCTCTTCTCCAACTCCCACCCAACTCCCTCCTTTTCACCGCACTTAACTCCTCCCCATCTACAAACTCCAACTTCTCCTCACAAATGCTCCACTCGTCCCCCCTCACCTCCAAAACCGTTTTTGCCGCAAAACCTAAAACACAGCGCGACTTACGCCCATGTCTAGGTGGAATACCCGACCTTGGGTAATTTTTTACCCGACCGGGTCGGGTACCCGTTACCCGACACGTCGGGTAGCATTTCGAGTAGCGGGTATTGATACCCTCCTCGGGTAACCCGGACCCGACCCGCCGGGTAATTTTCAGGATTTCCGATACCCGACCCGCCGTAAAAGCGGGTCCGGGTACCGGGTACCCGACCCGGGCGGGTAGTTTGCTCAACCCTACCCTGAGGCAAGCTTTACTCGCCTCGGGGCTCTTTGCCCCCCCTCCCCGAACAGTCACATTTTAAGAGGGGAGCATTTTAGGGGTCTGAATTGTTAGGCCAGTCCACGATGACTTGGCATGCATGCGATGTGTGAGGAAAATCAGTGCACGCGCGGAGTTGTTGCTCGCGTGCAATTTTTTCTCGCGAGTATTTTTTACTAGCCCAAATGAGACGAGTAACAGTCGAGTACTCGTTTACTCGACGAGTTAACTCGACTCGACTCAGGGCGAGTCATTTCCAGGGGGTGCCGACTCGTTACTCGGAAAAAACGAGTCGAGCAATCGAGTCGAGTTTTTACTCGCCTCGACTGCCCATGCATAGGAGGAGTTAAGTGCGGTGAAAGGCAGGGAATCTGATGGAACTTGAAAGGCCCCCAGAAAACTCGACTCTCATGTGAGAGTCGCGTTTTCAGAAACCCAAGGTAGCCTAGACCGCTTTTAGGTGGCCCGCTAACACACCAATGGCAATTCAGGGCGGGTAGCTTTATCCGATTTCAGCCTAGACCGAGTCGGGGATACCCGGATCCGCCAGGCGGGTATTATATTACCCACCTTCAAGGGCCGGATCTGGGTAATGCTCTTGGGCATATTCCCGACCCGCACCCGACCCGAAAATACCCGACTCGAGGTTGGGTATGGAAAAACCGGGTCAGGTCGGGTAATAACCCGATTTGCTCATCCGTACATAAATGTTGTGGGAAGTGTAAAGAAATGAGTTGGAAGAGCATAATTACTATATTACATGCTAAGTTGGCACCTTACGTTTACATTGGTTTACATTTACGGTAGTTTACGTAGTAAAGTTACGTTTACGTACGTGGGCCCAAAAAGACTTCACGTTTACGGTCTGTTAGAAAGTTTTTCACCCTGCCCGAAAATTTTTACACCTCGTGTCAGATCTCAGGGGCAGGATTTGACACGAGGTTCCCTGACACGCGCTTTTTACACCCGTTAGGAACGCGCCCTCATTCCAGTGAACATTCCAATTTCCAACTCGTCGCAAGTGTGGCGAAGCTCCAACTCGTCAGGAAGCAAGTTTCGCAACGCACCCCGCGGAGCTTCCTATGAACGGCATCTGACATCCTCGTCTCCCCAAATACCAACAGATATCCCCGTCTTCGGAAACCTAGCACGACTTAGTACCTAAGCCAATCCACATAGCCTAGTCGAAGTAGATTATACCCAATCCCCCTCTCCCCTGCCTGCCGTGGATCCAGCGCCCACGTCCCTTGGTATTCCTGGAGCGAAATAACTATTACTCTCTAACGCTTGACGATTTTGCTCCTAATCCGCCACCTCAGAGTTTGAGACATCCGTCGCTGGACACGACAGTGCTACCGACTGGTCGCTTGGCGTATCGGCGGCTAAACATCTCTGAGCTTGCGGAATCCTTCTAGACCCAGTCCCGGGAAATACACCACGTCGCAACCGCCTTTCACACCTAATACGGGCTGCGTAGCTTCCAATTTCGCGATTTTTTTTTCCGCGTTTTTTTTAGCCCTGCCCGTGCGACTTTACGTAAACTTACGCGTAAACAAGCGTAAACGTACACGTAACTGTACGTTTACGCGACCGGTATGGGCGTAAAGTGCCAACTTAGATTACATGATGTAAGAGTCATTTAGCCCTTTCATGAAGAGACTCACAATTCGGTTAAATATCGAAGATTGCTAATAGCTTCTTGAATCGGGCCATTCAGACTGTTCCCCTCAGCAGATCTGCTTTTCACAATATAGGAGTGTGAGATAGGGAAAGACGAGGTCCAATATGCTTCTGACAATCAAATTGGAAATTCTGTCAAAACCGATACAACGTGCAACGGTGCAAAATGCTCACTTCTCCAGAAAAGTGATCAAGCATGAATAACGCAAATTCCGACCAGTAAATTGGACCGCAAGTGAAACTCTTAATTTTCCTTGCACATCCATTGTGAGGGCTTAAAGCAAATGTTCAAAGAGCACGAATTTCATAACAATGCCCGTATATCACCACAAAGCGTGCATACCCTGTAAATACCCAGTTTTGCTCAACCCTGGTTCCAATCGGAAAACGAGCGTGCAGGGGCTACAGTGGCTCACATGCAACAAGTTACAAAAAGAAAAAACTCACAAGGAACGAAGTTCTATCAGCTTGCTAATGGAGTCGGGTAATGAGCCAGTTAAGCTATTGTAGGCAAGCCCTCTGATGAGGGAAAAATGGGTGATAACGGCTGTTGAAGGCATGCCGTGAGAATACTGCAGACCGTATTGCACGGGTATGGATGATGAGAGACAGGAGAATACTAGTTGCTGTATAGACACTGCACTAGAAGTAGCTTCGTGTCGTGTGCAATTCCAAGTTGTTTACCTCTTTCACCTTACCCAGAACAGTACAGGCAGCTGTCTGAAAATAAACAAAGGGTTAATCCAGGAGTAGGTGTAAGAGCCTCAAGAAATGTAACTAGTAAAAATGAAGAGGCCCACAAGCCCTTCTAGAAAAGTGGCTCACAAGTCGGACAAGTGTGGAAGGTTGCCAATCGTTGCAAATATCGAGCCATTCAGGTTGTTCTGGTGGAGATATCTGCAAATTTTTTTTAAAAAGATGGAGTGTAAATAAGGCTTAAGGAAGACGGGAAGTAGGCTTGAGCAAAACCGGGTCATAACCCCACCCGACCCGGTTTTGCAATACCCGACCTCGGGTCGGGTAATTTCGGGTCGGGTCCGGGTCGGGTAATATGCCCAGGACCCTTACCCGGACCCGGCCTTAAGGGGCGGGTAATACAATACCCGCCTGGCGGTTCCGGGTATACCCGACCCGGTGACCCTGAAAAGCGGGTAATACTACCCGCCACCTACTAGTGGACATCCTAAAGTTGGGCTAGGCTAGGTAGGGTTTCTGAAAACGCGACTCTCGAATGAGAGTCGCGTTTCCTGGGGGTCGAGTTTTGACCACCCAACTCCCTCCCTTTCACCGCACTGAACTCCTCACCCTCTACAAACTCCAATTTCCAACCAAACTCCCTCCCTTTCACCGCACTGAACTCCTCCCTGTCTACGAACTCCAACATTTCCAACAAAACTCCCTCCCTTTCACCGCACTGAACTCCTACCCATCTACAAACTCCAACCTCTTCTCCAACTCCCACCCAGCTCTGTTCCTTTCAACGCACTGAACTCCTCCCTGTCTACAAACTCCAATTTCCAGCCAAACTCCCTCCCTTTCACCGCACTGAACTCCTCACTGTCTACAAACTCCAACATTTCCAACAAAACTCCCTCCCTTTCACCGCACTGAACTCCTACCCATCTACAAACTCCAACCTCTTCTCCAACTCCCACCCAACTCCCTCCCTTTCACCGCACTTAACTCCTCCCCATCTACAAACTCCAACTTCTCCTCACAAATGCTCCACTCGTCCCCCCTCACCTCCAAAACCGTTTTTGCCGCAAAACCTAAAACACAGCGCGACTTACGCCCATGTCTAGGTGGAATACCCGACCTCGGGTAATTTTTTACCCGACCGGGTCGGGTACCCGTTACCCGACACGTCGGGTAGCATTTCGGGTAGCGGGTATTGATACCCGGCTCGGGTAACCCGTACCCGACCCGCCGGGTAATTTTCAGGATTTCCGATACCCGACCCGCCCTAAAAGCGGGTCCGGGTACCGGGTACCCGACCCGGGCGGGTAGTTTACTCAATCCTAACGGGAACGCAGGTTTGTGAGCATCAAAGTTGGACGTCTGTGAATTCTAAGCACATGAACAGGCAGCGAGCTAAAGAGGTGCAAGGAGGGGGTACTTATAAACTGAACAGGCATACAAAAAAACTTCAAAATTTTAACAGTTTGAGCTAGGCTTGAGCAAAACCGGGTAATTACCCGACCCGATCCGGTTTTGCAATACCTGACCTCGGGTCCGGTAATTTCGGGTCGGGTCCGGGTCGGGTAATATGCCCAGGACCCTTACCCGGACCCGGCCTTAAAGGGGCGGGTAATACAATACCCGCCTGGCGGGTCCGGGTATACCCGACCCGGTTACCCTGAAAAGCGGGTAATACTACCCGCCACCTACTAGTGGACATCCTAAAGTTGGGCTAGGCTAGGTAGGGTTAGGCTAGGTAGGGCTCCACTCATCCCCCCTCACCTCCAAAACCGTTTTGCCGCAAAACCTCAAACACAGCGCGACTTACGCTCATGTCTAGGTGGAATACCCGACCTCGGGTAATTTTTTACCCGACCGGGTCGGGTACCCGTCACCCGACACGTCGGGTAGCATTTCGGGTAGCGGGTATTGATACCCGGCCCGGGTAACCCGGACCCGACCCGGCGGGTAATTTTCAGGATTTCCGATACCCGACCCGCCCTAAAAGCGGGTCCGGGTACCGGGTACCCGACCCGGGCGGGTAGTTTGCTCAACTCTAGTTTGAGCATCAGACCCAGTCCCAGCCTTGTTCATGGCATTTATAAATAGACATAGTTAAATCGCATCGCATCGCATCGCGTTATATCGCATTTTGCGATAGCGATTTTATCTTTTTATTTTAAGAATATTGCGGCGATGCGATGCAATAATATGGCGCGATATTTGGGATATCGCGTTTTTATCGCGCTATTTTTTGCGCAATAAAATACGATAAGCAAGAAAAAGATATCGCGCGCGATACTTTCGCGTATCGCGTCGCGAAATTTCGCCTCCAAGGGGGGGGGGCATGGGCGAGGGCCCTGAACTTAGCGAAAATAGATGGTAAGCTAGTCTAGGTTTCGCTTGCTGAATGGCGCGCGGAAATGGCAAGCGGCAGTTTGGGGAGAGGATTTTGTGTGAGGAGCAGAGGTTGGAGCACATTAGAGGAAGGGTTGGAAATCCTAGATGGGAAGGAGTGCAGTGTGGTTGAGGGAGGGGAGTTTCGTGGGGGTTCAAATTTGTTATGGTTGGTGGTGGGTGGTGGGCGAGTGGGTAGAGACATGGTCAAAACGCGATGCTATGCGATATCGCATCGCATTTCGACTTATCGCGCATTATATCGCGGCAATGCGATATCGCATCGCCGCGATATTTTTTTGAAAAACCTGAAATCGCATATCGCGTTTTGGGTGCGATATTTTCAAATATCGCACTGTAGAGTGCGATATATCGCGCGATGCGATAAGATATCCCATCGCCAGGGCTAAAATTCAGTCAAAGTAAACTACAGTAGCAATTTGGATAGGTAGCTAACTGGGAGGTACCTACGCTAGGGAATGCGGGAGTGAAGGTGTGGCTAGGTGGCTAAGGGAGTTCCAAGGGTTTGCATATTGTGTTTGCATGGTAGCTTGGGAATGGGAGTGAGGTGGTGGTGGGAAATGAGGTGGGAATGTGTTGGGGTGGGGGTTCTCTCAACGAGAATTTGTCGCAGCCTTTTTTGGGCTTCGTTTCCCCCACCCCCAAATCTGCCAATTTCGCTCGCGCGACTATGTTGCGCGAAACGCTCTGGCAGGCGAGCGTTTTGCGTTTAAACAGTGGCGTTTAAACGCAAAACGCTAAAACGCTAGAAAAAAGCAAACGCTCATGTTTTTAATTTCGGGGTAGCCCGACGAAAAAAAAAAAACGGAAAAGTTGCACGACAGTTTGAGATGTGGCGAATCCAACCAGGAACACCGTGAAATGTAATGAAGGTTCAATGCCAACCAAACACCTAAAATTGCTTCCACCACTCTCCACCCCATCTCATCTAGGAAGCCCAACCACCACTCCTCATACTTCTACTCACCAGAAACAGGTCGATCGTACAGATCTGGCGACCTAGGCGCTCCTCAGCGCTCCCTGCTGCACTGTTAGCACTACTTCATTGCTACGATATTGCCCCAGACAGCAGTCTCTAGTCTAAGCGCCCTGCCCGACTTAGCGTTTTCCTGGCGTTTGCCCCCCGGCTCCTGAGCGATTAGCGTTTAAACGCTAGCGTTTAAAACGCAAACCACGTTTTTTGCAAAATAGGCGCGCGATACGCAGGAGTATCGCAAGCGATTTTTTTGAAATTGCATATCGCATTTTATCGCGCAAAAAAAGCGCGATAAAAACGCGATATCGCAAATATCGCGCGATATTATCGCATCGCATCGCCGCGATATTCTTAGAATAAAAATAAAAATCGCTATCGCAAAATGCGATATAATGCAATGCGATATATCGTGATGCGATGCGATTTAACCATGTCTACGAGTGGGTTTTCAGGATGGGATGTGGTGGTGTGCGGTTGAAGGGATTTAGGGGGTTGGACTGTAATTAGACATGGGCAAAAAAAAAAGCATCGCATCGCATTTAATCGCGTTTTTGCGATGGCGATGTTTTTTTTTTTATTATTATTCATCGCGTGCTGCGATGAATTAATATCGCGCGATTTACTTTAAATCGCATTTTAATCGCGCAAAAAAACGCGATTTAAATGCGATATGCGATTTTTTTTAAATCGCGCACGATATTGCACTGAAACCCACTCTGAAACCCACTACGAAAACCACACTGGTTATTTGCACTCTATCTTACGACTGCCCGTGAGTCAATTTCCCCGCAGCCATGTTTTTTTCCTGTTTTTTTGGGGTGTTTTTTAATCCTGTTTTAAAACGCGATGCGATTTAGCATCGCACTGCGCGATTTAATAAAATATCGCATGCGATTTTTCAATACATCGTGGGTAAAATGCGATTTGCGATTTTTTTTTTTAATAAAATAAATCGCGCGATGCGATTTAAAATCGCATCGCTTTTTTAAACATCGCACGTGCATGCGATGCGATTTAAATCGCAATCGCGTTTTGATCATGTCCAACTGAAATCTTGACCCCCAAAATCAATGGGTTGGAACTACAACCAATTTCCACCACTTCAACTGCACTAAACTCCCCTCTGCATCTATAGAATCCAACCCCTTCCCCTCAAACACGCTCCACATGAGAGAGGGACAACAATATTCCCATCTCCCGTCAATTCACTTACCTAATTCTGCGCGAACCTAAGAGTGCCGCCATTGTTGTGCCCTGTCGTGTGGGAACACGTTTTTTTAGGGCGGGAAAATAGTGGCCCCTAAATGCGATGCGATATTATATCGTAGGCATGAGCAAAACCGGGTATTTACCCTACCCGACCCGGTTTTGCTATACCCGACTTCGGGTCGGGTATTTTCGGGTCGGGTACGGGTCGGGTAACATGCCCAGGACCAATACCTAGACCCGGGATTTGGGGGCGGGTAATTTAATACCCGCCTGGCGGGTCCGGGTATACCCGACCCGGTTTCCTTGAAAAGCGGGTAGTTTTACCCGCGTTTTTCTACCCTGTTGGGCTACTAAGCCTACGACCTAGATGGTGCTTCAAGAAACGTGAGCTGCGGGAGGGAGTATGAGGTGCGCCAAATCTTTAACAGTTCTGGTGTGGTGAGTGGGGCCTAAGTGGGGAGTTGGTTGGGTTTTCTAGTTGGAATGGGGTTGTGTGCGGTTTCTGGGGGTTTGATTCTTTGACCTCCAGAGTCAATTGGTTGGAACTCCAACCAATGTTGTGCTGTGCGGTTGGCTGGATTCAGGTTGGGTTGCAAATTCGATTGGGGAAATTCGATTGGTTTGACTTCCAACCAATTCCCCCCAATTCAACCACTTTGAATGCATCTGAATCTACAAACCCAACCCCTGCCAATCTACAATGCTCTAAGTGACCTAGCAGCTCACGTTACCTAGAAATTTGATGAAATTTCTCTACCAACGTGACTATGTCTCGCTGGTTCCGTCAGGTAGACCGCTACCCGATTTCGGGTCAGGTACCCGCTACTCGACGCGTCGGGTAGCATTTCGGGTAGCGGGTATTGATACCCGGCCCAGGTAACCCGGACCCGACCCGCCGGGTAATTTTCAGGATTTCCGATACCCGACCCGCCCTAAAAGCGGGTCCGGGTACCGGGTACCCGACCCGGGCGGGTAGTTTGCTCAACCCTATTATATCGCATCGAGCGATGCATCGCTTTTTTTAGGCGATACTTTTAAATATCGCCCCCTAAAACGCGATATGGGATTTCCTTTTTTTTTTTAACATATCGCAGCGATGCGATATCGCAGCGCTGCAACATAATGCACGATAAGAGAGAATGCGATGCGATGTAGCATCGCATCGCATGTTGACCATGTCTATTTACATAGCATGAAAAAGTCACTTCTCCTCTACAACAACATTTTTTTATACATAGCCTGCTGACTAGAGCCATTCCCAGAGTAGGTTTAGTCAACCACTCTTGCATCTAGTGTGCTCCACATGTTGTGGCACAAGGAGCACTGACCCTTGCCTGGTTTTGTCCCCAACCCCACGGAATTGGTGTGCATGTGATGTGGCTGACATGTCAACCCAGCAACGAACTGCACTTACATGGCAGTAAGAGTCCTGATCTTGCCAATGGCTCCAGGAATTGAGCCCGTCAAGCTGTTGCAGCCAAGGTTTCTAAGAGAACAGAGGGCAAGGATTAGACATGGTTATATGGCATCGCATCGCGCGATATTATATCGCATATATCATATTTTTGCGATAGCGATATTGGTTTTTTCTGAGCTTTTATCGCACCTTGCGATGCGATAAATATCGCACAATTTCTTTAATATCGCATTTATGTCGCGTTTTTTACCCACGATATAATTGCGATATGCGATATTTGATATTGCATGCGATATTTCTTAATATTGCATTTATATCCGCGTTTCTTCCATATGGTCGGAAACAGGGTTGAGCAAAACCGGGTAATTACCCGACCCGACCCGGTTTTGCAATACCCGACCTCGGCCCTTGGGTCGGGTATTTTCGGGTGAGGTCCGGGTCAGGTAATATGCCCAGGACACAGACATGACCAGAACGCGATTGCGATTTAAATCGCATCGCATGCAGGTGCGATGTTTAAAAAAGCGATGCGATTTTAAATCGCATCGCACGATTTATTTTTCGAAAAAAAAAAACAAAAAACAAAAAACAAATCGCATTTTACCCGCGATGTATTAAAAAATCGCAGGCGATATTTAATTAAATCGCGCAATGCGATTTTAAATCGCATCGCGTTTTAAAACGTAATTAAAAAACACCCAAAAAAAACAGAAAAAAAATCATGGCTGTTGGGAAATTGACTCACGGGCAGTCGTAAGCTAGAGTGCAAATAACCAGTGTGGTTTCCTGGTGGGTTTCAGAGTGGGTTTCAGTTAGGGTTGAGCAAACTACCCGCCCGGGTCTGGTACCCGGTACCCGGACCCGCTTTTAGGGCAGGTCGGGTATCGGAAATCCTGAAAATTACCCGGCGGGTCGGGTCCGGGTTACCAGGGGCGGGTATCAATACCCGCTACCCGAAATGCTACCCGACGTGTCGGGTAACGGGTACCCGACCCTAGACATGGGCACAAGCCGAGCCACACCTGGCTCGGCTCGGCTCGGCTCGCCTTTTTTTCTTGTGCCCGGCTCGGGCGTGCGTCCGTTTAGGCCTAGTCCCACGATGCTGAGGGTTGTAGCCTTGTAGGGCGCTTGGTAACGCTTGATTAAGTTAAGCGCAGGCATTTGGGGGTGCGCGATCTTGCATTGCCCATGGCAAAGACCAAGGCAACGGCGGCTAGGCAAGGGGGGCTGGGGAGGGATCGTGTAGCGGGCACAGATGAGGCGGTGGGGGACCAGGGGGGTGTGAGTTCCAGGGCGAATGAGACCAATGGAGGTGGAGCCATGCCCCACATGCCTGAGGAGTGGACAGATTTCCTCCTCTCTCGGCAGGGGATGGGACGAGGGGGAGGGGGGGGGAGAGCCCAGGGGGAGCGGAGGAGGGTCAAGCGCGCACAAGCTCGCCGCAGCCGATCAGAGGGATGGGAGCGAGTCGGAGGAGCGGGAGAGCGGAAAATCTAGCGGCAGTGAGTATGAGGAGGAGGAAGAGGAGGAGGAGGATGATGAGCACGAGATGGAGGGTTTGGTGATGGAGGACGAGGAGGAGGAGGAGGAGGAGGAGGGGGAGGGGGAGGGTCGGCCCAAGAAGGGAACGGGTGGGAGTAGGGAGGGGGAGGAGCGCGCTGCTCCGTTCGTCGGGTGGGAGTAGGCAGGGGAGGGCGTGCGGATGGGGCTGAGGAGGTGGACCCAGGCGTTGAGCAGGAGGGGAGAAGGAAAAGACAGAAAAAGAACCGTAAGGTTGGAGCAAAGCGGAGCAACAAGCGTGTGGCAGAGTGTTTCTTTGGGAGCGAGAGAAAGCGAGTGTGCAAGATGTCCGAGAAGCCGATGGGCTTCAAGGACAGCCAGACCAGCACGCGTGCCAAGCATATGGCGAGACACCATCGCCCACACTGGGACATATGGCAGCGGCGCGTGGTCGAGGGTCTTGAGCCAGGAGAGTCGTTTCCGATGGGGGGATACCCACATGTCCCTGATGGGAAGGTGCCCAACGAGTGGTCCAAGACTTGGCCGCAACCCCCCCCCCGGCGCCACCATCCCGTCCCTGTCCCCGGCAGCAGCGGACACGAGGCAACCCACGATGGACCGGTTCCTTGGCCCACGTGTGTCGGAGCCGCGTTTGCGTCAGGCGATTGTCGAGTTCATCGCCAACACTGACAGCTCCTTTCGCATCGTAGAGGACCCCGCGGTAAGCGAGCCACCCCACCAGCCCCCCCCTTCACACCCTTCCCTAAGCCTGTGGTCATTGTGTTACCCAACTCCCCCCCCCCCCTTATAACCTACTGGATCTGCCCCACCAAAAGAACCACCCGCCCCACCACCACCTCCTCCCCCCCTCCCGCATGGCGCTAAACACCCCCAAACCCCACACCCCCCCTCTCGTTTCCTTTTGGCAGTTCCGCCGCCTCTTGGCTGTATGCAACCCTCAATGCGGCGACGCAATCCCCATACCCGACCGGACCACTGTTTCCAGGGACCTCCGCTTCTACTCTGAGGCGGCACGGGCAGTGGTTAAGTCGGAGTTTCGGGCGGGTTCAGGGAGCGGGCGTGTCTCTTTCACAACGGACATATGGACCGGGAGTAACAGGCAGGGGTACATGACAGTGACGGCGCACTTCATTAGCAGGGATTTTCAGCTGCGCCAGTGTACACTGGAGTTTATGGAGCTGGAAGCGCGCCACACAGGGCGGCTAATTGCAGACGTCTTGGCGCGAGTCATCAGGGAGTGGGAACTCGTGGGGTTTTGCATGGGGGTGACGACGGATAACGCCAGCAGCAACACAGCCGCCATGCGTCGCCTCGCCAGTCTTGGTTGTCATGCGTTGGCGACGCCTCTCCTCGCAGATGGCATGCACTTCCGGTGAGTGCATGGCGAGCTTGCAGCCCTTGTCTTGTCCACATAGTGTGCTGCTGTTCAGACGATCCACACCTCCCCTCTCAATGGCATGGAGGGTCTTTAAGGATATCCCTCCCCCCTCTCCCCCCCCCCCTGTGCGCCTTCGTACATACATGCAGCTGCCTGGCGCACATCCTGAACCTTGCAGTCCAGCGTGCGCTGAAGCTGCCAGCGGTGAGGGTGCCGCTGAAGCTCCTACGCGACATTGCCACCTTTGTTGGATGGAGTGAGAGGCGCACGCGCGAATTTGAGGCGCAGCAGCGGTCCGATCCCGTCCTCAAAGGGACGGTCCTCCGCCTGGTGCAGGACAGCGAGGTTCGCTGGGGCAGCACGCACGAGATGGTCGCGCGTGCATTGAGGCTCCGCAAATCCCTCACTGCGCACTTCGCAGTGGAGCAGGTACCCTCTTTACAAAAGCCCACTCCACCGCTTCCATTGCGTGCGCGGATGCTCCTACGCGCCCCCTTGTGTGACACTTCCTTCCATGCCGCCACACCCATTGTATCCCCACAACCCCCCCCCCCATGCACCCCTGCTCACTTCCCACGGAGAGACGGCCGAAGAGCGCGCGAAGTACGTCGTGTTGCGCCTGACCGACGCGCACTGGGACACGCTGGATGTCCTGGCGGAGTTCCTGGCACCGTTCAGTTCCATCACGGTGGCGGCCGAGGGCTCTTCCTACCCCACATCATCTGCTGTTGTGCCACAGTTCAACGAACTGATGGACACCTTGCAGGCATGGCCGTCGCCCCACCTCATCGGCCGTCAGCTCGTTGGCGTCGCCTTCCCCGTGCTAGAACGGTACTATTGCAGCAGCAGCGATGAGCTCGTGGTGGCGACGTTTCTGAACCCCGGCATGAGGCTGGTGTTCTTCGAGGTGGATGGAGGGACGGACACCCGCTCTGGGGGAGAGGGAGAGGGGGCAAACGGGGTGGGCGTGGAAAGCGGACTAGCTGGGTCTTCACGCGCGCTAGTTGTGCGTGCCGCTGGTGCGGGGGGGGGGGAGGAGGAGATGGGTTCAGAGAAGGGCGCAGAGGGGGAGGACGAGGAGGACGAGGAGGACGAGGAGAACGAGGAGGATGAGGAGGGGGGAGAGGGGGAGGAGGGGGAGGAGGAGCAGCAGGGCAGACCTGTGGCGAGCTTCAAGCCGTCAGAGGTGCTGACCCTTTTACGGGCACGCTTTGCTGAGTACAGTAAGCGGCTGAAGCAAGCGGCACAGCAACAGGACGGGGGCAGAGGGGGGGTGGGCTTGGGGGGGGGGGAGGTTGAGGGTGGAGATGCTAGTGGTGTACCAGTGCGGGGTGGCTTGAGCCAGTCTCTCCACGCCAAGCTGCTAGCGCGGTCCGCACGACGGGGGGCCACGGTGCGGGATGAGGTGGATCGTTACATTGAGGGGGAGTTGCATGAGGGTTGCCCCTTGGCGTACTGGCGCGAGAGGTCTGATATGCCGGTGTTGCAGGCTATGGCCATGGAGTACCTGGCCATACCAGCAACATCGGCAGCTAGCGAGCGTGTGTTCAGTCAGAGCCGAAATGTGATCACCCGCCATAGGCAGAGGTTGTCTGGGGAGAGCGTGCGAGCCACTATGACACTCAAGTCATGGACTCGCACGCACCCTGGTGTCTCCCTGTTAAAGCCAGGGTGGATCAAAGAGACGGAGAAACTCAGAGTGGAGGAGCTGTAGGCTGCGTGCTAAACCATGTGGTCAGGGGTTGCTAGCTTGCGTCTGGTTGCGCTGCGAACATGCTGTTGGCAAAGGGGCACTCTTTTAACTTCCATGGTACTACATTAAATTATTGTGACTTTTCAGCTCACCTAGGCTTGTACTGGCGCCCCAAACAGAGCAGCAGTAGTTCACAATCACAATCTGGCACTAGAGTCCCCAAAAACAGTGGGCCTTCTTGAGAGGTTACACAAGCCCCCCTGACCAGCCGAGCTGAGCCGGCTCGCCGGCGAGCCGGCCCGGCTCGACCCCATTTTCACGAGCCGAGCCGGGAATCCTGAGTTCCCGGCTCGAGGCGAGCCGAGCCGGCTCAACCGGCGAGCCGGCTCGGCTCGACCCCAAACGAGCCGAGCCAAGCCAGGCTCGGCTCATGCCCATGTCTACCCGACCCGGTCGGGTAAAAAATTACCCGAGGTCGGGTATTCCACCTAGACATGGGCGTAAGTCGCGCTGTGCTTTAGGTTTTGCGGCAAAAACGGTTTTGGAGGTGAGGGGGGACGAGTGGAGCATTTGTGAGGAGAAGTTGGAGTTTGTAGATGGGGAGGAGTTAAGTGCGGTGAAAGGGAGGGAGTTGGGTGGGAGTTGGAGAAGAGGTTGGAGTTTGTAGATGGGTGAAGAGTTCAGTGCGGTGAAAGGGAGGGAGTTTTGTTGGAAATGTTGGAGTTTGTAGACAGGGAGGAGTTTAGTGCGGTGGAAGGGAGGGAGTTTGGCTGGAAATTGGAGTTTGTAGACGGGGAGGAGTTCAGTGCGATGAAAGGGAGGGAGTTGGGTGGGAGTTGGAGAAGAGGTTGGAGTAGGGCTGAGCAAACTACCCGCCCGGGTCGGGTACCCGGTACCCGGACCCGCTTTTAGGGCGGGTCGGGTATCGGAAATCCTGAAAATTACCCGCCGGATCGGGTCCGGGTTACCCGGGCCGGGTATCAATACCCGCTACCCGAAATGCTACCCGACGTGTCGAGTAACGGGTACCCGACCCGGTCAAATAAAAAATTACCCGAGGTCAGGTATTCCACCTAGACATGGGCGTAAGTCGCGCTGTGTTTTAGGTTTTGCGGCAAAACGGTTTTGGAGGTGAGGGGGGACGAGTGGAGCATTTGTGAGGAGAAGTTGGAGTTTGTAGATGGGGAGGAGTTAAGTGCGGTGAAAGGGAGGGAGTTGGGTGGGAGTTGGAGAAGAGGTTGGAGTTTGTAGATGGGTAGGAGTTCAGTGCGGTGAAAGGGAGGGAGTTTTGTTGGAAATGTTGGAGTTCGTAGACAGGGAGGAGTTCAGTGCGGTGAAAGGGAGGGAGTTTGGTTGGAAATTGGAGTTTGTAGAGGGTGAGGAGTTCAGTGCGGTGAAAGGGAGGGAGTTTGTCACAGGATGGAATGTCCCGAGGAAAGGTTTGCTCAATGTTGCACTATCAATCAGTACAAGGGGCTTTTATACTTCCAGAGTACATCAGGTAACCAGGCTTATCCTATCCAAAGGGAATAGACCCTTCTAGAAATAGGATCACCCTGCGTATAGCCACGCGAGGCTATTGGCTTTAAGGGATTACGGCAGGATTACGCTAGATATAGCGCACCAGTACATCCCAAGCCTGGTCGGTGATATAATTATAATAACATGATAAACCAAAGGATAATGGCAAAGGAGGAATAGGAAACCAAATGAGATGAGATAAAGACCAAATGAATGAGGATAAAAAGAGGAATGAAATAGAAAGGAAATTTGGAAAGGGGAAATTTGTGTAACGGGGTCGTACTCTCACAGAGTTGGGTGGTCAAAACTCGACCCCCAGGAAACGCGACTCTCATTCGAGAGTCGCGTTTTCAGGAACCCTACCTAGCCTAGCCCAACTTTAGGATGTCCACTAGTAGGTGGCGGGTAGTATTACCCGCTTTTCAGGGTAACCGGGTCGGGTATACCCGGAACCGCCAGGCGGGTATTGTATTACCCGCCCCTTAAGGCCGGGTCCGGGTAAGGGTCCTGGGCATATTACCCGACCCGGATCCGACCCGAAATTACCCGACCCGAGGTCGGGTATTGCAAAACCGGGTCGGGTCGGGTAATTACCCGGTTTTGCTCAAGCCTAGGTTGGAGTTTGTAGATGGGGAGGAGTTCAGTGCGATGAAAGGGAGGGAGTTTTGTTGGAAATGTTGGAGTTTGTAGACAGGGAGGAGTTTAGTGCAGTGAAAGGGAGGGAGTTTGGTTGGAAATTGGAGTTTGTAGACGGGGAGGAGTTCAGTGCGGTGAAAGGGAGGGAGTTGGGTGGTCAAAATTCGACCCCCAGACAACGCGACTCTCATTTGAGAGTCGCGTTTTCAGGAACCCTACCTAGCCTAGCCCAACTTTAGGATGTCCAATAGTAGGTGGCGGGTAGTATTACGCGCTTTTGAGGGTAACCGGGTCGGGTATACCCGGATCCGCCAGGCGGGTATTGTATTACCCGTCCCCTAAGGCCGGGTCCGGGTAAGGGTCCTGGGCATATTACCCGACCCGAATGACCCGACCCGAGGTCGGGTATTGCAAAACCGGGTCTGGTCGGGTAATTACCCGGTTTTGCTCAAGCCTACTTTCACCGCACTGAACTCCTTCCCATCTACACACTCCTATTTCCAACCAAACTCCCTCCCTTTCACCATACTGAACTCCTCCCCATCTACAAACTCCAACATCGCCTCACAAATGCTCCACTCGTCCCCCTTCACCTCTCATTTCGTATTGCCGCAAAACCTAGATCACGGCGCGACTTACGCCCATGTGTAAATGGAATACCCGACCTCCGGTATTATTTACCCGACTGGGTCGGGTACCTGTTACCCGACGTCGGGTAGCATTTCGGGTAACGGGTATCGAATACCCGCCCGGGTAACCCGGACCCGACCCGCCGGGTAATAATCCGGATCCGGATACCCGACTAGTCCTGGGTACCCGACCCGGCCGGGTATTTTGCTCAAGCCTAGTCGGAAACCGGGTTTTGGAGCCCTGCTGTAAGAGCAATGCAATATAATATCGCATCCCGCGATATATCACATTTTCCCGTGCGATAAAATCACATATCGCACTAGAAACGTGATATGCGATATTCAATTTCTAGAAATTATATCGCATGCGATGCGATATAAGATCGCGCGATATTATATCGCTATCGCAGACAGTGCGATGCGATATTATATCGCATCGCACTTTAACCATGTCTAGCAAGGATGTGGCGAATAACAGGAGTATTACTACACGCCAAGGTGCAAAAAAACGGCATCCGTATTAAACGGTCCGTTTTAAACAGCCGTTCTTTACGGTGGGTTTTGGTAAAAAAATGACGTTTTTTTGTTAGACCTTTTTCCATGAATTTTTTGTATATATAAAAAGCATGCGTAAACAAGTGGACTGATCGCTAAGGCGGCCTGCATCGTTCTACGTGGTAATTGGCGGCTTTGAAACAGGCATGTGATGTCCATGCCCTTAGTCCGTCGCCTTCCAGGCCTCATTCTGCTTCTACTCCAGCATCCCCCCCGTCCTCCTCCTCCTAAGCGTCATCCATCTAGCTCCCCCCCCCCCCTAGTCCTCCCCCCCCTAAGCGTTATTAGCTCGGCCAAAAACAATGTAAGCCGTATTATACGGTGGTACGAAAAAAGCGGTCGTATAAAACGGCCGTTTTTTTGCACCAAACGCAAAATGCAACTTTCAACCGTTTTAATCGTATTATACGACCGTTTTATACGATCCCGTTTTAAACGGCAAAAAAAGGTTAAAAACGCCGTCTTTTTGCACCTTGCTACACGCACATGCAATTCGACAATTTGGTGATGTAGTCATGAGCGACGGGCCGAGCCGCAAATCGACAAGCCTGGAGCTGCGCGAGCGAGGCTCAGTCCCGGCCTGTCGGCTCAGCAGCGAGCTGGGTCCCGGCTCGCCACTAGATTAGAGCAGATCTGGTGAGAGAACTGGCCAATACGCATGGGTCAGCACAAGCTGTACACATTGGGGAGCTGGGGCTCGCTCCTCAGCTCCCTGGCTCGTGATGAGCCAGCCCGGCTCGGCTTGAGCCTGGACTTAACTCCGCTCAATTACACGAGCCCCGAGCCAGGGGTAGCATGTCTATGGTGCGGATAGATGGACACTACACAATCTATACCCAATTTTATGTTGCTCAAAACGTAGCTTCGAGAATGTACATTTCTATTCTTTGCCACCTCAATCCACAGCAAAGAATACTACTTCGTTTGGAGGTTTCTACTCAGAGTGCAAATAGAAAACTAGGAGTCTATGGGTGAACGACGCACAAGAGCATAGTCCACCTAATCAAGGACCCGGTGCTCCAGGGTGGCTGTATGGTCATCCGCAGATAGTATGGCTTCCTTCGATTATTGAGTAAGGGAACAAATGAAACCATTCTGAAACAAAAGTTGGGCACGATGGCATCGCATGGAATCATATAGTCGAATTTGAATCATGGTAGTGAGGAACGGGTCATCTAGCACTTGTAATGAAGAGCTCACAAGGTGCTCAGCGATTGGAGGTTGCTCAAAGTTTCTGGTATCTGGCCGCTCAGCTTATTTTGGAGGAGCCATCTGCATTTCATACAACAGGAATGTAAAAAAGGGAGTATGAAGGACGAACAAGAGTTTGTGAGCGCGGTTCGTGATAAAACCTGCACAGCTCTAGGCGTGCATAGTTCCAGTCTGAGATGAAGCCAGCCCATGTGGCAGATTGGGGACCACACATGGCTTAATCTCAACTTCATGTATGGCACTCACAGCTCAGTGACGCTTGTGAGGTTGCCAATGGAGTCAGGAATTGTGCCTGTAAGGCTGTTGTAGCTGAGGTTTCTGAAGAGGGAGGAATGGAGGGCGACCATACTGCAGAAATTTGCAACACAACAACATGGCAAGGACACCATTTCCCGAACAAGAGGGCAGTTAGAAAGCAAGTGTTGAACATTCAAGGTACAGCATCACAAGCGCTGAAGACATCTCAAGTACGTCGTTGTGCAGTCACGAATAGGACGACATCTCAATGCACTCAACACAGAATGGAGAGTGCATTGACAAGAAAATGTGGTGGAAGAGATTCATGAATTCATGCATGAGTAAGTGTGAAGCAACTGTTATGGACAGCAGGTATGGGTGAAGAGTCCAAATGGAGTGACTGGGCGTGAGCCCTGGAGCCAAAGGAAAGAGTCATCTTGCCCTTCCAATCAAGCCGCTCACAGCTCAGTCACAAGCTGAAGGTTGCCAATGGTTGCTGGTATTGAGCCACTCAGCTGGTTCGCATAAATGTGACTGCAGTCAGGAGATAGGAATGCCAAAGGGGGGAGCGGTTAACAGGTTGAAAGTGAGTGAAGGCGAGGTAAGGGCCAAGAGAGGTAGAGGGGACTGGAATTCCGGAAGCAAGCAAGCTCCTGCGTGGCGTGTATTTGACGGCTGGACTGCGGAGTGCGCAGAACTTACACTCTCCGGATCGCATTTGCCCTGCATTCTTTCCAATACTTTCCAGGCTAGCAATAAACGTCAGGCCATAATACAAGGATTGTACTTGTACATAAGCATAGGCCTAAGGTTCAAAAATACGGTTTACGAAAAACACGGTCCGTATTATTTGGCCGTTTTTACTAGGGATTTTTGGAAAAAAATAAAAACGCCGTTCTAAAAATAGAGCTTTTTTTTTTTTGGTAGACCGCCTAATCGTCCGCCAGATCCGCACCATTCGTCTGCCCAAATGCGAGATCTGCGCAGTTCGACGGGCGAAATGTCAGATCTGCGTATTTTGGCTGACAAAACGTCAGATCCATACATTTCGTCCACCAAAAACGCAAGATCTGGCACATTTTGGTGGGAAAAAAGCCAGATCCGTAGGCATGAGAACGGGGTGAGGCGAGGATTCCTTGACCCGAGGATCTCCTCCTCGCGCCCGGGCGTAGACATGGGCAGCATGCCGAGCCTGGCTCGACTCGGCTCGACTCCACTCGCCTTTTTGGCAAGTCGAGCCGAGATTTTTTTTTGGCTGGCTCGATCCGAGTCGAGCCGAGTCGAGCCGGTCGAGCCGCGCGGCTCGGCTCGACTCGTTGCAAATTTCATGGCGAGCCAAAGTCGAGCCGGCTCGACTTTGGCTCAAATTTGGCTCGACTCCTGAAGCGCACGGCTTGCCAGCGGGGGGTCAAAATTCGACCGCAATGGAAGACGAAAATCCATTTGGCGAGTCGAGCCGAGCCGAGCCAATGTCGAGCCGACCCTTGGCTCGACCCTGAACCCCCGAGTCGAGCCAACCATTTTGGGGCAGCCGGCTCGGGTCGAGTCGAGTCGGCTCGGCTCGACTTTTACCTGGCTCGAGGTCGAGTCGAGCCGAGTCGAGCCAGGCTCGGCACGGCATGCTGCCCATGTCTACTCCAGAGGTCATAGGCAAGGTGAAAAAAAACAACGTCTTTTAACCTTTTTTGCCGTTTAAAGTGGAATCGTAGAAAACGATCGTATAATATGATTAAAACGGTCGAAAGTTGCATTTTGCGTTTGGTGCCAAAAAACGGCCGTTTCATACGACCGTTTTTTTCTAACTACTGTATAATACAGTGTACATTGTTTTTGGCCGAACTAATAACGCTTGGGGGGGGGAAGAATAGGGGGGGGAGGACTAGATTGATGACGCATAGGAGGAGGAGGACGGGGGGGAATGGTGGAGTAGTAGGGCTTAAAGCAAATGTTCAAAGAGCACGAATTTCATAACAATGCCCGTATATCACCACAAAGCGTGCATACCCTGTAAATACCCGGTTTTGCTCAACCTTGGTTCCAATCGGAAAACGAGCGTGCAGGGGCTACAATGGCTCACATGTAAAAAGTTCAAAAAAAACAAATCTCACAAGGAACGAAGTTCTATCAGCTTGCCAATGGAGTCGGGTAATGAGCCAGTTAAGCTGTTGTATTCAAGCCCTCTGATGAGAGAAAAATGGGTGATAAGGGCTGTTGAAGGCATGCCGTGAGAATACTGCAGACCGTATTGCACGGGTATGGATGATGAGAGACAGGAGAACACTAGTTGCTGTATAGACACTGCACTAGAAGTAGCTTCGTGTTGTGTGCAATTCCAAGTTGTTTACCTCTTTCACCTTACTCAGAATAGTACAGAAGGCATGAGCAAAACCGGGTATTTACCCGACCCGACCCGGTTTTGCTATACCCGACTTCGGGTCGGGTATTTTCGGGTCGGGTAACATGCCCAGGACCAATACCCGGACCCGGGATTAGGGGACGGGTAATTTAATACCCGCCTGGCGGGTCCGGGTATACTCGACCCGGTTTCCTTGAACAGCGGGCAGTATTACCCATGTTTTCCTACCCTGTTGGGCTACTAAACCTACGACCTAGATAGTGCTTAAAAAACGTCAGTTGCGGGAGGGAGTATGAGGTTCGCCAAATCTTTAACAGCTCTGGTGTGGTGAGTGGGGCGTGAGTGGGGCCTGAGTGGGGAGTTGGTTGGGTTTTCTAGTTGGGATGGGGTTGTGTGCGGTTTTAGGGGGTTTGATTCTTTGACCCCCAGAGTCAACTGGTTGGAAGTCCAACCAATGTGGTGCTGTGCGGTTGGTTGGATTCAGGTTGGGTTGCGAATTCGATTGGGGAAATTGGATTGGTTGGAATTCCAACCAATTTCCCCCAATTCAACTGCTCTGAATACATCTGGATCTACGAAATCCAACCCCTGCCACTCTACAATGCTTTGCATGACCTAGCAGGTACGTAACCTAAAAAATTGCTGAAATTTCTTTACCAGCGCGATCAATGTCGCGCTGGTTCCGCCAGGTAGACGCGCTACCCGATTTCGGGTCAGGTACCCACTACCCAACGTGTCGGGTATCATTTCGGGTAGCAGGTATTGAATACCCGCCCGGGTAGCCTGGACCCGACCCGCCGGGTAATTTTCAGGATTCCCGATACCCGACCCGCCCTAATAGCGGATCCGGGTACCGGGTACCCGACCCGAGCAGGTAGTATGCTCAAGCCTACAGTACACGCAACTGTCTGAAAAAAAAAAGGGGTTAATCCAGGAGTAGGTGTAAGAGCCTCAAGAAAAGTAACTAGTTAAAATGAAGAGGCCCACAAGTCCTTCTAGAAAAGTGGCTCACAAGTCGGACAAATGTGGAAGGTTGCCAATCGTTGCAAATATCGAGCCACTCAGGTTGTTCCGGTTGAGAAATCTGGAATTTAAAAAAAAAAAGAAAAAAAAAAGGTGTAAATAAGGCGTAAGGAAGACGTGAACGCGGGTTTGTGAGCATCAAAGTTGGACATCTGTGAATTCTAAGCAGATAAACAGGCAGCGAGCTACAGAGGTGCAAGAAGGGGGTACTTCAAAACTGAACAGACTTACAAAAAAACTTCCAAATTTTAAAAGTTTGAACTTTGAGCTAGGCATGAGCAAAACCGGGTAATTACCCGACCCGACCCGGTTTTGCCATACCCGACCTCGGGTCGGGTAATTTCGGGTCGGGTCCGGGTCGGGTAATATGCCCAGGACCCTTACCCGGACCCGGTTTTTTTAGGCGGGTATTATAATACCCGCCTGGCGGGTCCGGGTATACCTGACCCGGACCCCCTGAAAAGCGGGTAATTTTACCCGCCACCTACTAGTGGACATCCTAAAGTTGGGCTAGGCTAGGTAGGGCTAGCCTAGGTAGGGCTCCACTCTTCCCCCCTCACCTCCAAGACTGTTTTGCCGCAAAACCTAAAACACAGCGCGACTTACGCCCATGTCTAGGTGGAATACCCGACCTCGGGTAATTTTTTACCCGACCGGGTCGGGTACCCGTTACCCGACACGTCGGGTAGCATTTCGGGTAGCGGGTATTGATACCCGGCCCGGGTAACCCAGACCCGACCCGGCGGGTAATTTTCAGGATTTCCGATACCCGACCCGCCCTAAAAGCGGGTCCGGGTACCGGGTACCCGATTCGGGCGGGTAGTTTGCTCAACCCTAGTTTGAGCATCAGACCCAGTCCCAGCCTTGTTCATGGCATTTATAAGGCATGAAAAAGTCTCTTCTCTACAACAACATTTTTTCATACATAGCCTGCTGACTAGAGCCATTCCCAGAGTAGGTTTAGTCAACCACCCTTGCATCTAGTGTGCTCCACATGTTGTGGCACACGGAGCAATGACCCTTGCCTGGTTTTGTCCCCAACCCCACGGAATTGGTGTGCATGTGATGTGGCTGACATGTCAACCCAACAACGAACTGCACTTACATGGCAGTAAGATTCCTGATCTTGCCAATGGCTCCAGGAATTGAGCCCGTCAGGCTGTTGTAGCCAAGGTTTCTGGGAGAACAACAGAGGGCAAGGATTAGACATGGTTATATCGCATCGCATCGCGTAGACAAGGTTAAATAGCATCGCATTATATCGCATTTTGCGATAGCGATTTGTATTTCTATTTTAAGAATATCGCGGCGATGCGATGCGATAATATCGCACGATATTTGCGATATCGCGTTTTTATCGCGCCTTTTTTTGCGCGATAAAACACGATATGTGATTTAAAAAAATCGCGCGCGATACTTCTAAGTATCGCGCGCCTATGTTGCAAAAAACGCGGTTTGCGTTTTAAACGCTAGCGTTTAAACGCTAATCGCTCAGGAACCGAGGGGCAAACGCCAGGAAAACGCTAAGTCGGGCAGGGCGCTTACACTAGAGACTGCTGTCTAGGTCAATTAAGTAGCAATTAAGTAGTGCTTGCTAACAGAGAAGCAGGGAGCGCTGAGGAGCGCCTAGGTCGCCAGATCTGTACGATGGACCTGTTTCTGGTGAGTAGAAGTATGTGAGGAGTGGTGGTTGGGTTTCCTAGATGAGATGGGGTGGAGAGTGGTTGAAGCAATTTTAGGTGCTTGGTTGGCATTGAACCTTCATTAAATTTCATGATGTTCCTGGTTGGATTCGCGGCATCGCAACGCAACTTTTCCGTTTTTTTTTCTCGTCGGGCTGCCCCGAAATAAAAAACCTGAGCGTTTGCGTTTTTCTAGTGTTTTTGCGTTTTGCGTTGAAACGCCACCGTTTAAACGCAAAACGCTCGCCTGCCTGCTCAAAATAGTCGCGCGCGCATATTGACAGATTTGGGGGTGGGGGAAACGAGGCCCAAAAAGGGCTGCGACAAATTCTCGTTGAGAGAACCCCCACCCCAGCTAGACATGGTTGAAATGCGATGCGATGCGATATCTCATCGCATTTTGTCATATCGCGCGTGATATTGCAGCGATGCGATATCGCATCGCTGCGATATTCTGTTTCAAATACTGAAATCGCATGTCGCGATTTAGGGTGCGATGTTAAAAAGTATCGCACCCATAAGTGCGATATATCGCGCGATGCTATTTAACATCGCATCGCATTATGGGGTCGGAGGAGAAAAGCAAAACGACAAGGCCGGCTTTCCTACGTGCGCAAGGAATTAGGTGAGTGAAGTTTGACGGGAGAATGAGATATCGTGGCCCCTCTCTGATGTAGAGCGTGTTAGAGAGGGGCAGGGGTTGGATTCTGTAGATGCGGAGGGATTTAGTACGGTTGAAGTGGTGGAAATTGGTTGGAGTTCCAACCAATTGACTTAGTGGGAGTCGAGATTGCAATCAACCCCCTAGGGTTGAGCAAACTACCCGCCCGGGTCGGGTACCCGGTACCCGGACCCGCTTTTAGGGCGGGTCGGGTATCGGAAATCCTGAAAATTACCCGCCGGGTCGGGTCCGGGTTACCCGGGGCGGGTATCAATACCCGGGGTTACCCGACCCGAAATCGGGTAGCGGTCTACCCGACGGAACCAGCGAGACATTAGTCGCGCTGGTAGAGAAATCTCATCAAATTTCTAGGTTACGTGAGCTGCTAGGTCACTTAGAGCATTGTAGATTGGCAGGGGTTGGGTTTCATAGATACAGATGCATTCAAAGTGGTTGAATTGGGGGGAATTGGTTGGGAGTCAAACCAATCGAATTTCCCCTATCGAAATTTGCAACCCAGCCTGAATCCAGCCAACCGCACAACACCACATTGGTTGGAGTTCCAACCAATTGACTCTGGGGGTCAAAGACTCAAACCCCCAGAAACCGCACACAACCCCATTTAGACATGATCAGAACGCGATTGCGATTTAAATCGCATCGCATGCAGGTGCGATGTTTTAAAAAGCAATGCGATATTAAACTGCATCTAGCGATTTATTTTTCGCAAAAAATAAAATCGCAAATCGCATTTTACCCGCGATGTATTAAAAAATCGCATGCGATATTTAATTAAATCGCGCAGTGCGATTTTAAATCGCATCGCGTTTTAAAACAGAATTAAAAAACACCCCAAAAAAACAAAAAACAAAAAAACATGGCTGCGGGGAAATTGACTCACGGGCAGTCGTAAGCTTGAGTGCAAATAACCAGTGTGGTTTCGTAGTGGGTTTCAGTGCAATATCGCACGCGATTTTTAAAAAATCGCATATCGCATTTAAATCGCGTTTTTAACCGCGATTAAAATGCGATTTAATTAAATCGCGCGATATAAATTCATCGCATCGCGCGATGATTAAAAAAAAAAAAAAACATCACCATCGCAAAAACGCGATTAAATGCGATGCGATGCGATTTTTTTTGCCCATGTCTAACCCCATTACAACTAGAAAACCCAACCAACTCCCCACTCAGGCCCCACTCACGACCCACTCACCACACCAGAATTGTTAAACATTTGGCGCACCTCATACTCCCTCCCGCAGCTCACGTTTTTTTAAGCACCATCGAGGTCGTAGGCTTAGTAGCCCAACAGGGCAGAAAAACGCGGGTAATACTACCCGCTTTTCAAGGAAACCGGGTCGGGTATACCCGGACCCGCCAGGCGGGTATTAAATTACCCGCCCCCAAATCCCGGGTCCGGGTATTGGTCCTGGGCATGTTACCCGACCCGTACCCGACCCGAAAATACCCGACCCGAAGTCGGGTATAGCAAAACCGGGTCGGGTCGGGTAAATACCCGGTTTTGCTCATGCCTACAACCCCCTAAATCCCTTTAACAGCACACCACCACATTCCATCCACCACCGCCCATGTCAAAATTTGAACCTCTAACCAACTCCCCTCCCTCAACCGCACTGCACTCCTTTTCAACTCGAAATTCCAACCCTTCCTCTCCAAGCTCCTCACAAACACATCCCCGTCAATTACGCCAACCCCAAACAGCCGCGCGCAATTTCCGCACGCCATTACAATCAGAGAACCCTAAAATTTGCTAAGTTCAGGGCCCGCGCCGCGCCCATGTTCCCCCCCCTTTCTGGCGCAATTCCGCGAGGCGATATGCGGATGTATGGCGCGCGATATTTCAATATCGCATATCGCATTTTATCGCGCTGAAAAACCCGCGATAAATGCGCGATATCGCAAAAATCGCGCGATATAATCGCATCGCATCGCTGCGATATTTTAGAAGAAGAAATAAAAATCACAATCGCAAAATACGATAAAATGCGATGCGATGCGATATACCCATGTCTAACCCCAACACATTCCCACCTCATTTTCCACCACCACCTCACTCCCATCCCATTCCCAAGCTAGCATGCAAACACAATATGCAAACCCTTGGAACTCCCTTAGCCACCTAGCCACACCTCCACTCCCACATTCCCTAGCATAGGTACCTCCCTGTTAGCTAGACATGGGCAAAATGCGATTGCGACTTAAATCGCATCGCATGCTGGTGCGATGATTTAAAAAGCGATGCGATTTAAAATCCCATCGCACGATTTAATTTTTCAAAATTAATACATCGCACATCGCGTTTTGCCCGCGATGTAATTAAAAATCGCAAGCGATGTTTTATTAAATCGCGCGATGCGATATTAAATCGCATCGCATTTCTGGAGGTTTTTAAAACAAGTCTGCAAAGGTGGAAAAAAAAAAAGCGACTTCTGAAAACTGGAACACGGGATGGCGTGCGGGCGTTAACGACTAAATATACCGTTCACAGTGGGTTTCACACAAATGCGAGCCCCGTGGTAAGGGCCCGACTTTCGTAGCTTAAATAAAGTAAGTGCATGGGTTTGAAACGGGGGGGGAGGGGGGGGAAGGGGGGGGGGCAGCTGCCAGCTGGAGGGTGTGGGGAGTGTGAGGGTGCGGGAAAGGAGGGAGGGGGGTTTAAAAGGGGGGGGGGGGAGGGGAGGGGAGGGGAGGAAGCAAGCATGAAGCATAGTCAACGGTCTATCACGTTGTCAATATAAATAAGGTAATGTCCTATCAGTTCCCGAACCCCCCAGCAGCACGCTAGCCCTCAAAGCCCTGGACCTGTCTCAAGGCCCAGCTCCCACGCCTCGTCGGCCGTCTCGACATCTTCGGCTGCTATCGCGCCATGAAGCCGCTGTCCAGGGTGAGAGGCAATCCATGACTTCAGCATCATGCAAACCCCCTTTTGGTAGCTGGTCCCCGACCTTCATTTCCCCCTCCCGCCTTAGCCGCATCAAGATGTCCCAATGAGCCCTGTGGTAACCAACCATGTGGGACCGCCCGTTCCACGTGGTGCGGCTCGCGAAGCTCACTAGGAAGTTGCACATCCTACACCTCCTCCAACCCGGTGCCGCCTCCTCCATGTCAAAACAAGCCGCCACACACAGTCGAGGTTCCTTCTCCACCTTCGTGGAGGAGCCCACATGACCTTGCTCAGTCGCCCCATGACCCTCACCCTGGCCACCTCCCGCCCTCCCCCCCCCCCTCCCGGCATCCATGGGAGCCCGGGCCGCACCTCGGACCCTCCCTCCTCCCCCTCCGCTCCCCTGCGCCTCGTGGAGGTATCCGGGTGACATGCCAGGCCTGCCGACATCCTCGCGCAGCAGTCCCTTCCGCCCCCTGGGCCGGCCCTGGGGGCGGCCCCTGGGCGCCCCCTTCAACCCCCCATCTCCCTCTGCAAGTTTACGTGCCTTCTTCCCCGAAGAACCGACCGAGGGAGAAGGCCCGTCATCCACCTTGCGCTTCCCCTTCTCCTCGCCGCCAGCTCCCCCATCCTCCTCCCCATCCCCCTCCTCCTCCGCCACAACGTCGTCCCTCCTCCTCCTCAGCCACCTCCTCATCCCCCTCCTCATAGGCAGTCCGCACCCCCTCCGCCGATGCTCGGATCCGCCAAGCATCCCCGTCCTCCACCTCATCCCTAACGGCCGCCTAGCCCGCAAGGGCGGGCTCCGTAGCATCGGCCGCGCCACTCCCCTGCGTCCCAATCCTGCCGTTGCCTGGGGCTCCTCCCATGTTCCCGTCGCCTTCCACCCCTAGCGAGGTACCCGCCTTAATCCCCTGCAGCTTCGCGAATGCCGCCTCCGTCATCATCCTGCGCTGCGCGCGTGCTTCCTTGCCCGTCAATGCGTGCGCTCCAGTCTGAGCATCCGGTTCATCCTCGCGGCCGCGACCCGCGCCACCACCACTCCTACCGCCCCCACGACCCGCCCCTGCTCCACCCTGCTTGCCCATCGCGAGTTGTTAAAGTGCCTCCTCAACCTAAACCCTAAACCCTAAAGCGGCCGATTCGATGCGCGTCGCGCGATAAACCCTGCAACTTGCAACTAAATAAGATACGCAATGCAGTAAACGGCAATGGCCGTGCGTCGTGGCTAGAATCTAACTGGCCAACGGTGAAAACCGTTGCGACGCCACCAACGCGGCAAATGCGTGTGCGAATGACGTGGCTCGACTAAAAGGCCATGCGGCGAGCAATCTAGTATGTGCCGTCTACAAATTTCAGCCACCAAAAACCGTGACGAACGGTGGGTTTTGGAGTAGTCGGAGGTGTGTGCAAAGCCCTAAAACGTACTCTCAAACGAAAGAGATTTTGAGAAATGCGTTTTGGGGCTTTGTGACTTTTCCCTATGTGCTGGCGAGATTTCGCGCTGCGATGTATTTCGACATCGCGCGCGATTTAATTTTAATCGCATATCGCGATTAAATCGCGATTTTCGGCCGCGATTAAATTGCGATTTACATTCAATCGCGCGATAATTAAATCATCGCATCGCGCGATGAATTAAAAAAAAAAAAAAAAAAAAAAAACATCGCCATCGCAAAAACGTGATTAATCGAGATGCGATGCCATTTAAATTGCTCATGTCTACAGTTAGCTACCTATCCAAATTGCTACTGTAGTTTATTTTGACTGAAATTTAGCCCTGGCGATGCGATATCTTATCGCATCGCGCAATATATCGCACTCTACAGTGCGATATTTGAAAATATCGCACCCAAAACGCGATATGCGATTTCAGATTTTTCAAAAATATATCGCGGCGATGCGATATCCCATCGCCGCGATATAATGCGCGATAAGTCGAAATGCGATGCGATATCGCATCGCATCGCATTTTGACCATGTCTAGCATCGCGCGATATTATATCGCATATATCGCATTTTTGTGATAGCGATATTGGTTTTTTTCTGGGTTTTTATCGCACAATGCGATGCGATAAATATCGCGCGACTTTTTTAATATTGCATTTATATCGCATCTTTTACGCGCGATATAAATGCGATTTGCGATATTTCTTAATATCGCATTTATATCTGCGTTTTTCCCTATGATCGGAAAACCGGGTTTTGGAGCCCTGCCCTAAGAGCGATGCAATATAATATCGCATCGCGCGATATATCGCTTTTTCCCGTGCGATAAAATCACATATCGCACCTGAAGTGCGATATGCGATATTGAATTTCCACAAACTATATCGCATGCGATGCGATATAATATCGCGCGATATTAATCGATATCGCAGACAGTGCGATGCGATAGTATATTGCATCGCACTTTAACCATGTCTAGCAAGGATGTGGCGAATAACAGGAGTATTACTACACGCACATGCAATTCGACAATTTGGTGATGTAGACATGAGCGACGGGCCGAGCCGCAAATCGACAAGTCTGGAGCTGCGCGAGCGAGGCTCAGTCCCGGCCTGTCGGCTCAGCAGCGAGCTGGGTCCCGGCTCGCCACTAGATTAGAGCAGATCTGGTGAGAGAACTGGCCAATACGCATGGGTCAGCACAAGCTGTACACATTGGGGAGCTGGGGCTCGCTCCTCAGCTCCATGGCTCGTGATGAGCCAGCCCGGCTCGGCTTGAGCCTGGACCTGGCTCCGCTCAATTACATGAGCCCCGAGCCAGGGGTAGCATGTCTATGGTGCGGATAGATGGACACTACACAATCTATACCCAATTTTATGTTGCTCAAAACGTAGCTTCGAGAATGTACATTTCTATTCTTTGCCACCTCAATCCACAGCAAAGAATACTACTTCGTTTGGAGGTTTCTACTCAGAGTGCAAATAGAAAACTAGGAGTCTATGGGTGAACGACGCACAAGAGCATAGTCCACCTAATCAAGGACCCGGTGCTCCAGGGTGGCTGTATGGTCATCCGCAGATAGTATGGCTTCCTTCGATTATTGAGTAAGGGAACAAATGAAACCATTCTGAAACAAAAGTTGGGCACGATGGCATCGCATGGAATCATATAGTCGAATTTGAATCATGGTAGTGAGGAACGGGTCATCTAGCACTTGTAATGAAGAGCTCACAAGGTGCTCAGCGATTGGAGGTTGCTCAAAGTTTCTGGTATCTGGCCGCTCAGCTTATTTTGGAGGAGCCATCTGCATTTCATACAACAGGAATGTAAAAAAGGGAGTATGAAGGACGAACAAGAGTTTGTGAGCGCGGTTCGTGATAAAACCTGCACAGCTCTAGGCGTGCATAGTTCCAGTCTGAGATGAAGCCAGCCCATGTGGCAGATTGGGGACCGCACATGGCTTAATCTCAACTTCATGTATGGCACTCACAGGTAAGTGACGCTTGTGAGGTTGCCAATGGAGCCAGGAATTGTGCCTGTAAGGCTGTTGTAGCTGAGGTTTCTGAAGAGGGAGGAATGGAGGGCGACCATACTGCAGAAATTTGCAACACAACAACATGGCAAGGACACCGTTTCCCGAACAAGAGGGCAGTTAGAAAGCAAGTGTTGAACATTCAAGGTACAGCATCACAAGCGCTGAAGACATCTCAAGTACGTCGTTGTGCAGTCACGAATAGGACGACATCTAAATGCACTCAACACAGAATGGAGAGTGCATTGACAAGAAAATGTGGTGGAAGAGATTCATGAATTCATGCATGAGTAAGTGTGAAGCAACTGTTATGGACAGCAGGTATGGGTGAAGAGTCCACATGGAGTGACTGGGCGTGAGCCCTGGAGCCAAAGGAAAGAGTCATCTTGCCCTTCCAATCAAGCCGCTCACAGCTCAGTCACAAGCTGAAGGTTGCCAATGGTTGCTGGTATTGAGCCACTCAGCTGGTTCGCATTAATGTGTCTGCAGTCAGGAGATAGGAATGCCAAAGGGGGGAGCGGTTAACAGGTTGAAAGTGAGTGAAGGCGAGGTAAGGGCCAAGCGAGGTAGAGGGGACTGGAATTCCGGAAGCAAGCAAGCTCCTGCGTGGCGTGTATTTGACGGCTGGACTGCGGATTGCGCCGAACTTACTCTCCGCATCGCATTCGCCCTGCATTCTTTCCAATACTTTCCAGGCTAGCAAAAAACGTCAGGCCATAATACAAGGATTGTACTTGTACATAAGCATAGGCCTACACCAAGGTTCAAAAATACGGTTTTCGAAAAATACGGTCGGTATTATTCGGTCGTTTTTTCCGGGGATTTTTGGAAAATAATAAAAACGCCGTTCTATAAATAGAGCATCTTTTTTTTTTTTTGGTAGACAGCCTAATCGTCCGCCAGATCCGCACCATTCGTCCGCCAAAATGCAAGATCTGCGCAGTTCGATGGGCGAAATGTCAGATCTGCGTATTTCGGCTGACAAAACGTCAGATCCATATATTTCGTCCACCAAAAACGCAAGATCTGGCGCATTTTGGTGGGAAAAATGCCAGATCCGTAGGCATGAGCACGGGCCGAGGCGAGGATTCCTTGACCCGAGGATCTCCTCCTCGCGCCCCAGCCGAGGCGGGTCGAGGAATCCTCGCCGAGGATTTTTCTAAAAAAATCCTCCTCGACCCCGGGTTTTAGGGGCGAGGATTGGAATCCTCGCCTCGAGGGAAAAATCCTCCACCCGAGGCGAGGATTCCTTGACATGAGTTGGGGTGGGGGTGGGGATTCCCTGAACTCTGCCTTCATTATTTCGAAAGTGCTCTTCCCGTTCCACTCTCCAGGGGTTATAGGCAAGGTGCAAAAAAATGGCGTTTTTTTACCTTTTTCGGCCGTTTAAAACGGGATCGTATAAAACGGTCGTATAATACGATTAAAACGGTCGAAAGTTGCATTTTGCTTTTGGTGCAAAAAAACGGCCGTTTTATACGACCTTTTTTTTCGTACCATCGTATAATATGGTGTACATTGTTTTTGGCCGAGCTAATAATGCTTAGGGGGGGGGAGGAAGGACTAGGGGGGGAAGGACTAGATGGAAAACGCTTAGGAGGAGGAGGACGGGGGGGATGGTGGAGTAGGAGCAGAATGAGGCCTAGAAGGCGACGGATTTGAGGCATGGACATCATATGCCTGTTTCAAAGCCGCTAATCACCCCATAGAACGATGCAGGCCGCCTTAGCAATCAGGCTACATAAAAAAAAAACAAAAAACAAAAACAAAAAAAAAACCAAAAAAAAAAAATCATGAGAAAATGTCTTACAAAAAAACGTCGTTTTTTATCAAGACCCACCGTAAAAAACGGTCGTTTAAAACGGACCGTTTAATACGGATGCCGTATTTTTGCACATTGGTTATAGGTAGGTTTGAGCAAAACCGGGTAATTACCCGACCCGACCCGGTTTTGCAATACCCGACCTCGGGTCGGGTAATTTCGGGTCGGGTCCGGGTCGGGTAATATGCCCAGGACCCTTACCCGGACCCGGCCTTAGAGGGCGGGTAATACAATACCCGCCTGGCGGGTCCGGGTATACCCGACCCGGTGACCCTGAAAAGCGGGTAATACTACCCGCCACCTACTAGTGGACATCATAAAGTTGGGCTAGGCTAGGTAGGGTTCCTGAAAACGCGACTCTCAAATGAGAGTCGCGTTTCCTGGGGGTCGAATTTTGACCACCCAACTCCCTCCCTCTCACCGCACTGAACTCCTCCCCGTCTACAAACTCCAATTTCCAAACAAACTCCCTCTCTTTCACCGCACGGAACTCCTCCCTGTCTACAAACTCCAACATTTCCAACAAAACTCCCTCCCTTTCACCGCACTGAACTCCTACCCATCTACAAACTCCAACCTCTTCTCCAACTCCCACCCAACTCCCTCCCTTTCACCGCACTTAACTCCTCCCCATCTACAAACTACAACTTCTCCTCACAAATGCTCCACTCGTCCCCCCTCACCTCGAAAATCGTTTTTACCGCAAAACCTAAAGCACATCGCGACTTACGCCCATGTCTAGGTGGAATACCCGACCTCGGGTATATTTTACCCGACCGGGTCGGGTACCCGTTACCCGCCACGTCGGGTAGCATTTCGGGTAGCGGGTATTGATACCCGGCCTGGGTAACCCGGACCCGACCCGGCGGGTAATTTTCAGGATTTCCGATACCCGACCCGCCCTAAAAGCGGGTCCGGGTACCGGGTACCCGACCCGGGCGGGTAGTTTGCTCAACCCTAGTTATAGGCACCCTTGCCCCTGGTTTTCAAATTTGACCCTCTCAAGAGAGGGTTGCGAAAATCGTTACCGATCCCTTGGCTGCGAATTTCGAAATTGTCCCCTCAGCAGGGTCTTGCAAAATTCGTACGTGACCCCTCAAGAGGGGGTCGCGAAATTCGCAATTTAACACCTCGCCAGTAGGGGTTGCGAAATTCGCAATTAACACCTCGCCAGTAGGGGTTACGAATTTCGCAATCAAACACTCTAGATGGGGTTGCGGAAAACCAGATCTGGTTTTCCGACTACGTTCCTGACCCCCCTAGATGCTAGTCGTGCAGCAGCAAGTTAAGTATACCCCACTCCAAGGTTTTCGTTTAAGCTGTTCTAAATGGTAGCATAGGGCGAAATGGGGGTAGCTATCCCTTAGCTAACCCTAATACGAAAACAAGGGGCTCGGCTGATTCAGAAGTAATGAATTAGCCAACTCACCAAGATTCGTTTTGCACCGCACAAAAGTGACGCAAGGAAAAAATCCTCGCGAGGAAAAAATCCTCGCCCCTAAACTGCCGAGGAATTGTCGAGTCCTCGAATCCTCGGCCGAACGGGGTGAGGATTCCTCGCGAGGATTTTTCCCAGAAATCCCACCTCGACCCCCAGAATTTTGAGGCGAGGATTTCCGAGGCGAGGAAATCCTCGCCTCATTGCTCATGCCTACATCCGTGCATTTGGGCGGGCGAAATGCCAGATCCGCGCATTTCGTCGTATTTTTTTGCACATTTTTGTTTCAAATTTCGGCCGTCTTTTTTTACCAACCTATTTTTGCACAATTTTCACCGTTTTTTTCGTATTAAACGGCCGTTTAATTCGATGCCATTTAATATGGTTTTTATTTTTTTTTACGGCGTTTTTTGCTACCCTGGCCTACACCAACGGTAAGCCCAGCACATGTATATTCGGAAAAACAAAAACAAAACAAAAAAGGAACAAAACCATCTAGCGGCAGCGGACCAAAGCGCGACATAAATAGGTATCACGTTCATAACATTCCAGAGGAGCACATACGCACAGAGTGCTTGAGCATGCCACCCTTACTCAGCCTGAATTGAAAACTCCTCCTCTTCCATTGTACATCCAGTTTGAGGGCTTAAAGCACTTTCAATGAGCAAACAGAGTATGGCTCTGGCTCCCATGCCAACCCAATGAGGAATGGCACTCACAAGAGTCGAAGATTTGTGAGCTTCCCAATGAAGTCAATATTGCCAGTAAGTTGGTTGTAGCCAAGGTTTCTGATGAGGGAAGAATAGAGGCGACACATACGACAACTATACTGCACGCGTCTGCACTAAGACTGACGAAATTGTTGCATTCGTAACTGTGAAGCAATTGTTCTAAATACAAGTTATGGGTGGTGAGATCAACTTGTAGTAAATGGAAGTGAGCATGACTTGCCCTTCAAAGAATCAAGCGCCTCACAACTCGGTCACAAACTGAAGGTTGCCAATTGCAGCTGGTATCGAGCCACTCAGGTTGTTATTCAAAATATACCTACACTCAGAAATCAGGGGTGGCTTAGAGGGGGAGTAAGGACCAAAACACATATCACAGGCTTGTGAGTAAGTTGGATCTTGACGTTTTCTCAGGCTGCCTTGCGTACGCCGATCAAGGTACAAAGTACGTCCGATTTTCTTGTTCCAATGTGTACATGTTACATTTTCGATTCCGTAACGTAACACATTTCGACGGTTGGGTGGCAAATGTTCGGTCACTGCTTTCCTGAGGCACGAAAGCACCACACATTCCAGCCGCTCATTTCAGGGGTTTCGCAAGGCCTGTTGCGAAACCGTCGTTCGTTTCGCAACGGATCTGACAAATATTTCGCGCCAAGTAGTGTGCGTCGTGCATTTCGTGACGCACGCTACCTAGGCGCACTTTGAATTCGAAATCCCTCCCCTCCCCACCCGATCTTGCATTCAACTAACAACCCAAAACTTGCATGACAAGATACAAGTACAGAGCACCAACAGAGAGGTAAGAATCATTGTTTTTTCCTAGCAGATTAAGGTTCCTAAGTTCACGCAGCCTACATTCAGGCACTCCAGCCCGCCGATTTCTGGACGTTGCTCACCCGCATCACACAACGCCAGCCTAGTTTGATGATCCTAGGTTTGCCTGCTCGTGTTTCCGCCATGCCCCGCACCCCGTCACCTATGTGGGAGCATATGATGGAAAGTATCTGACGAGCAAGGCAAGGTCGTCCGCATCCGTTGCCAGATGAGCGTCACGGCAAATGCGACGCGGATCCAGGAGCATCTTTTCGACGCACCGGCATCATTCCAGAACACTGCCAAGTGCAGGTCCGAATTTGCAAAGAATCTCCGAGTCAATGGTCAAAGCTCGACGACCACGGCCATGGTCCACGGGTCGACAGCCACGGTTGGGGTACCGGAGGCGCAGCCGTAACCGCGACATCTGCAGCATGGTGGACAAGGCGGGCCGCGATGCCCTTGATCTCCTATGGGCGACGGCCGTTGTCGAATACGACTTGGCTTTCCGGATTTCCACGTAAGTGTGCTTTAACCATGTGCTTTCAACGAGACGGAAGCTACTACAACACCCCCCCTTCCCCTCCGTACCGTCTCCAACCTTACCGTCGATCTCCTTACATGTTTCTTCCTTATTTCGCCTTAGTAATTGCTATCCCCCCTCCCTCTTCGCCCCTCGACCAGGTCACAATCCATGCAAGCCTTAGTCGAGGGGGTTGTGGCGTACGGCAAGAAGTATAACTTGCCGAGCTCGTACTCGGTATCCCACCCGTTCCCTACAAGCTCAGGGCCAAAACCGAGTCCCTCATGCAGCCCCTCAAGTAGACATGGGCATTTTACCCGGTCGGGTCGCGGGTACCCGACCCGACCCGACTTTTAGGCCGGGTCAGGTAATATGATTACTGCGAATTACCCGGCCGAGTCGAGTCGGGTACTCGGGCTATGTAATGCATACCCGATACTAGGCATGAGCAAAACCGGGTAATTACCCGACCCGACCCGGTTTTGCTATACCCGACCTCGGGACGGGTATTTTCGGGTCGGGTCCGGGTCGGGTATTACATCCCGGACCAATACCCAGACCCGCTTTTTATAGGCGGGTATTTTAATATCCGCCAGGCGGGTCCGGGTATACCCGACCCGACTTAGCATAAATGCGGGTAATGCTACCCGCCCATACAAGAAGGCCTAAATAGGCTTGAGCAAAACCGGGTAATTACCCGACCCGACCCGGTTTTGCTATACCCGACCTCGGGTCGGGTAATTTCGGGTCGGGTACGGGTCGGGTATTACATGCCGGACCAATACCCGGACCCGGTTTTCATGTGGCGGGTATTTTAATACCCGCCAGGCGGGTCCGGGTATACCCGACCCGACATAGTTTAAGGGCGGGTAATGCTACCCGCCCATTCAAGAAGGACTAAACGAGGTGTTTTTAAAACACAACATGTTTATTACTGTTCAAGTAACTGTCTCCTAGGGTTGAGACAGCAATATGGTTTTGAGAAAAAAAAATCCACGCATTTATGCGGGTTTGTTGCCACCACCACGATACTCCTTATTTGTGTAGCTTGTTCGGGTTTTGTATTCATGGGATGAAAGTATACGTACTATGAATAACATGCACGCAGTTCACTCTGCGTCTGTTCACAATCATTTGACAAGCATGATGCCATGTCTGCATGGCCCTAGAGCTCAATGCTGGGTCCGGGCATGGCACAAGCAAGGACACGAATGTACATCATACGAAAAACTGCCCATAGGGGCTAACCCTATACCCACGCCTCACAACCCCTCGTCGTCACCCTCAAGGCACAGCCCCCCCATGGCCCGATCCAGCGTCGCCAGTGGGAGGCCGCCGTCGGCGCGCTGTGCCATCCATGACTTGAGAGTCATGGATGCACGCACCTGAGCAGTGCTCAGGCGGTGACGCTGCCAGGTGACCACGTTCCGCCCCTGGCTGAACGCCCGCTCGCTCGGTGCCGAGGTTGCAGGGATGGCAAGGTAGTCTCGTGCCATCGCCTGCAACCCCGGGTACGACGAGCGCGCGCGCCACCAAGCGAGCGGACAACCGTCCATGTCCAAGCGCGCCTCCTGCAGGTACCTCTGAACCTCGTCCGGCGCGGCCACTCCCGTTCTCGCCTCCACCTCTGCCATCGCCGAGCCGAGCATGTCAAACAAGCGCCCCCCACCTCGGGCCCTGGCCACCCCCCCCCCCCCCCCCGACCCGCGCTCCCCCTGTGCTCCTCCCCTCCTGGCCCCCGTCCACCGCACGCCTGCTCTGCTCGTCCAGGTAAGACTGCAAGCGCGCCCTGACCCATGTCACCACCTGCTCCAATATGACGTCACGCACTGCCCTACGCCCCCCAGCGGCCTCTCCCGCTAGCTCAGGGTGGGCCCTGTGAGAGTACGACCCCGTTACACCACTTGGCCTTTTCTTATTTCCTTCCCTTTTCATTTCTCTTTTTACCGCATCTCATTTGGTTTCCTCTTCTTCCTTTTCCATTATCCTTTGGTCTCTTCCTTTATTATAATTATATCACCGACCAGGCATGGAATGTACTAGAGATGTTATCCAGCGTAATCCTGCCGTAATCCCTTAAAGCCAATAGCCTCACGTGGCTATACGCAGGGTGATTCTATCTTCTAGAAGGGTCTATTCCCTTAGGATAAGATAAACCTGGTTACCTGATGTACTCTGGAAGTATAAAAGCGCCTTGTACTGATCGATAGTGCAACCTTTCCTCGACACATTCGATCCTGTGACACTTGGTAATCGGAGCTTTTCTCACTCGGCCGCGCTCAGCTAAGCAGCAGCAGCGGGGATCCTGCCTCGAAAAACCGCCGGGGGCGACCAATTCGACGCCGATTCTGGTAAGCACCAGCTCCGCGATTTTCGAATTACCCCCTCCGTGCGTGTTTTGAACAGGATGGCAACCTTCGACAACGCCGAGGTTACCCAGCAGCTCTTCGCGCGCATCGCAGCCCTTCAGGAGGAAATGCGAGCGGATCGCGAAGCGTGGCGAAACCAGTTCGAGCGAGTAACTCGACTCGCCGGAGCGCAGCACGAGACGACAACGGCAACGACGCAGCAGTCGCAGCAGTTTCTCGAGGCTCCGAAACCGCGCCCACCTGAGCCGTTCGATCCGAGCGATCGAAACTCCGACGCCCGCAGATGGATCGCCGGAATGGAGATCTACTTCGCAGCCGTCGGATGGAGCTCGCCAGTCTGGGACGGTCAACGTGTACGACTCGCGGCGACACTGATGCGAGGGCCGGCACTCGAGTGGATTGGCGGCAACAGTACTTTCATCCACGGTGAAGCCACGTGGCAGCAGTTCCGCGCCGACCTGCTGAAACGATTCGAGCCGATAAATTCAGGTTTCCTTGCCCGCGAAAAAATTCATCGCCATCGACAGTTCGGGAGTGTAGCACAGTACACGCAGCAGATGGAAGAATTTTATAACAGAATTCCCGACCTGACCGAAGGGGAAAAAGTGCAATCGTACCTCGCAGGGCTGAAGACTGAAGTCAAACGACAGGTGGCAGCGTCAAACTACGCGAGCTACAGTGACGTCGTTTCGGCCGCGGAGCGCTTCGACATGGTCAACGCCGGAACACGACGGACGCACGTCGGCAGTACGCGACAGGGCGACCGCTCGGCTCACACCACGTTCGCCGACCCGATGGAAGTCGACAGATTCGAGGGGCGGCCACGTCCGAAAAACACCAACTACACGTGTGATTTTTGCGGGGTGCCGGGCCACCGAATCTTCGACTGCAACAAAATGAAGGCCGCACGCGCAGAGTATCGGGCACGCAACAGTGGCGGAAATCTTTCGGCCAATCAGAAGACAAAAAACGGGAGTCGCCAGTGATTGCGGATCTAGCTTGCGAAAATAAAAAGATCCGAAAGCGGCCGCGGGATTCCGGAAAAATCAACTTCGACGAAGCGGATTCGACGCGAGAAGGAGGAAATGATGGGGGAAAATCTCCACCCCACGACCAGTCTTCGCCAGGGAAAATCGCCGAGGAAAAATACGACTCCGCGAAAAAAGACTCTGCCGAGACAGGGAAAATCTTTGAAGACCCAAGAAATTATAAGGATTCGTTAAAGTTATCTTATAAAGATGCTTTAATGAAAACTTATGATTTTCGAGGAGCTAGAGCCTTGGAGAAAATTCGGGAGGGACTCCAAAAGAAGCAGACAGCTGTGGAGATTATACCGGTACCGGACAACTTGGGGAAAAAATTAAGGAGTGTGGAAAGAAGCCGACCTTTCCACGGAGTCAACGTCCTCTCCCGACACCAGCCCACAACGACTACCTGCTCCCCAGGGAAGACGTCGGTGGAGCTGAAGCAGCTCAAGAGGAAGCTGGGGGTCTACAAGAAGCTGCACAAACCCCGAACTCCTTCTACGGATGCATCCAGTTCTTCGGCATCAGTGACGCGCACAGTCGTCAAGGAAACTCCGGGCCCTGGAGAAGAGCCGTTCTCCAAGCA